AACAGTGATTCTGCTCCAGATTAGCGACAGCCATAATAACAAATTGTCTCTCTATATAATTTTAATGTAGAGTTCTTCTTTTCAGTTCCCTCTTGCTGAACTCTGATTTTGAACTTAATACTATGGAAAACGTTTGAGATCTCCTTGTGTTCTTAAGCCCTTTATTATTATAAAAAATAGGGAAGTCTTCCATTAAACACTGCTCCAAAGTGCTTGAAACTGTGGCTTAAATCAAAAAGAATCATAAAACAAAAGCAAATGAACAAAAAGACAGCACAGAGAAAAGAAAAACATCACTGTATCCTACATAGTCAGAATGTAATAAGCAAAAGGCAGCTTGAAAACAGGCAACTAACATATGGCAAAGAGGAAGTCAATTGCAGTTCATATTACTGCACACCTGGAAAGAACACGGTGTTTTTCTTACACCTTCAGATACAAAATCATGTGATCTTTCTGTCTATGCTTCTAAAAGTTACCAGCCTTTATGGTTGCAAACAATATTTCGCAAGGCAGAACTCTTAAGATTATCTTCAAATTCTAGCATTTTCAATCTAGCAGCTCTTTTGGAAACGGGAGAGTGACTACTAGGAGCGATCTGTATTTCTTGAAAAATAACCCTCAAAAGCAGAGACTTACAACAGCATACATTCAACTCCTTTCTTTTATTCTTGTCACTCACCTTCTTCATGTCTACCATGTCCTGTTTAAAGGAAATCGGAATCTTTCTTTCCCATATTAAAGTTTGTTGGCAAATAATTATTTTAAGAAAATAGATGGATGAGATTTCAGTACCATGGTACACTCAACATCTGAAACAATTTCATTATATCGATGCTTATTTCAGTTCATTGGTATTGTAATCTTTATGTAGTTGCAGTAATAGTTATCCAATCCCTTTACTCCCCATGTCTTGGAAGAAGAGCCATTATGTTTTACATGATATTTTTAATGTTATGTTGAGCTGCAGGATATTTTTCAAAGCCTTATATTTGGTTTCACAAATACTTTCCATTTTTCTAAAAAATAATTCTAAAACTCTGAATACAGAATAATCATGAAGGTAGTAAAATTGTTTCCAAATCTCACTGCTTTAGTTCTATTTATCTATCCACATCAGCACAGGTATTTAAATTAAAAACGATCTCCAAAATTCTCCAGTTTGTCAGAGAATTGCTTTCTTTGCAGTGACTCTACTCTGCAAGAAGCCTTGAAATTGTATATTCCAATTAGAACTCATACAGTTCTGATCACTGTATGGTTTGTCCAAAGGATAAAATATAAAGAATTATTTTATTTCCATTTAGAAAAAGCATTTCTGGGTAGGAAATTCTGTGATAGTTATACTTGCCTTTTTTGCAGCAAGTACCATCTGTCACAGTGCAGAACATCTCCAAGTAACTTGAACAGATTTCATGTGAAGACTTGATCTAGCCTCAATTCAGGTCAAAATTCCTTTACAGCTCTTCCTTAGTGGAACAACACTAACTTCATGATCTGCTTTTAGATATTTCACTCATGTCAAATAGCTTGGCCAGTTACACCCCATGAACAAAATAACAGAATGATTCTTCTTTTCTGGCTACAGGAACTAAAACTAGAAAGATAATACATGGGGAATAAAATAACACTTTATCTGTCCTAGCTGTTATCTTTTAAATATTTTATGATCAAAGCAATATTGTAAGGGATCATCAACACATTTCCCATAAAATATTAACATACGAGTCTTTTATGAAGACATGCAAACTTTTAATCATGATTTTTTTCCCCCATTTCTTCATGATTAAAAAGTTAATTTGAATTACAGCACCATTAGTATCACTGGGTTATTAAAATAGCCATTTTATCATCTTTCATTCAGCAAGCTGATAAGTGGATCATTGTAGCTGGAATATGTAAAAAAAAATACTGAACACACTGTGCAACAAGTTTGCTCATATGAAGTAGGTCTAATTCAATTTTCTTGCAACAGATCTTAAAAGAAAAACTGCAATATACTACCAGCACACCTGTGGCAGATAGTCATAGATCTCAGGATGTCAAAAACTCCAGGAAAAATATTCCAAAGCAATAAGAAAGTAGAGGACATCCAAGCATCAAATTCAGCACACAAAAAGCATCTCAATCCAACACTATGAATTGAATTAACACTATATTGCATTGACAAAGACAATGATTAGTGCCATGCCACATAGCTGACACATATTTCTCTCAAACATTTTCTAAAGGATAAAAAATTATTTGCGCTTTTCAATTTTTCAACTCAAAAGACACGGGTTATTTTGTAATGTATGTTATATAACGGCTCCTCACTGGAGAGTTGGAAAGCAGACTTCCGCAGAGACAAATCACAGATTGAGGGTAAAGAGAACTGCAAGAAGTTTAAATGCTGAAGTACAGCCTGTCACTAACTAAATCCTAGAAAGTAGATGGGAATCTCCCTGGAACAACTTTAAAACATACAGCCAGATCTAAAGAATCAACAAACACTTAACTCCCTCCAGATAAGTGAAAAATTTGAACAGATTAGGATAATTTTTTGAAAATGCCATATAGTCATACTGAAATGATTTGGGAATATGGCCAGCTTGGGTGCAGAAGTAGTCTTTAATAGGGGATCGGAGCCAGCGTGGCTTTTTTCCTCTAGCGTTTTGGTTTGAGCCTAGCTTAAATACATCAACATTATCTCATGTCCAGCAAGGCCAGTATTGGTTCAAGTTACTGACCAAGCAGACCCACCCCAATCCTGTGTTCCACTGTCCAACACTTCCACTCCTTCCTCTAAAAGCACAGTGAAGAAAAACTTCAATAAATCCATCTCAATTACAGCAAGACATGCTGATTTGAGTTAGCTTCAGCATCAGTACAGTCACATTCTCAAAGCACTGCATCTGAGATAGAAAATCCTGACTCATGTTTGCTCCTGTAATCAATGTGGTTTATCTGTAGACCAGATAAATTACCTACCAATATGAGATGACGTGCAATTTCCACACTAATTGGCTAATACACTAATTGGAGTATATTTCTAATATTTTACTATGACTTTTAGATGTTCATATGTACAATTCTTAATTTATAGAGATGTATACAGTGAGTATGTTATATTTGACAGTGTAATAATGTTTATCTATAATTACCTTTACTTATTCAGACCTGCATGGAATGCAAAGTCTACTAACTGAAGAGATCAAGTGTTTCCTTCCTTCTTAGCCACTGGAAAAGATTCTTTGAAGAAAATGAGCGGTGTGTCATGATCATGGTGAAACACCTTCCTCCAAAGACTTGGGAAAATCCTAATTTTATATATTTCTCCTGTTTTTACATGAAATTCAACTCCATGCCCTTCTGTTGATGTGATGTGAAAATGAAAGAGTGCAGGTCACATTCAAGAAACAGTCTCTGAAGGAGACAAGATCAATTAATAAATTGCAGAGTTACCAAATATCATATATCATCATTTGTACTTTTCTTACATACATTAATTTGCACAGTACCCTACAAAGTAAAAATAAGTAGCCCATTTTACTAACAACATACAAAATGCAAATGAGCTACAAAAGTATTAAGTACTTCTGATATGATACAACTTACAATTAAATTTAATTTAAATAAAATTTTGCTAAAATGAGATCATTAGCAAATCTTAAATTAACTAACAAGTTTGCTATTCAAGGTATATCAGTCATATAAGAAAGGCATGGAAAAAAGAATGTGTAATTGCTTTAGTTTCTCTTGCTTGTATTGTTCTTTTAGTTTTAATGTAACAATGAAACAATGAAAGTAACAATCAGTCTGATTGAGAAATCTGTGTACAACCTGAATTGTTTTCTGTTGTTTTACAGAACCAACTATTTCAAGTGTGTTTGCATCAGCTGCAAAATACATAATCCTCATTTAGTGAGATTATTAAAGACACCATCATTAACACAGTCACACCAGTTGTAATAGTTTGTCTGCTTTCTAATGTCTACATTTACTGACTCCACCTTAGGTTAATTCAAGATGCCATGTGTCCAAATGGTTTAGTATTTGACAATTCAGTTAATCATGTAATTTAATAGATGCCATAACTCAAGCAGTTTGTTTCCATACAAAGACACATGCATTATTTGTTTCAACTATTTTCAAAGCTGAAAGAGTTTCCATAAAAACGAAGTAGTACAAACAGCAAGTGGTTACAAATCCAAGCACAGTATGTATATTCTTTATTGAGCAATTTATTCTTTTGGATAGAAATAACAAAATTTTCATTCAATTTTATTAAATTCTTAGCATTTATTCATCTAATTTTCATAGAAGTACAAAGTTTTTTTAACACAAAACCTAGTCCTCCTTAAACTGTAATGTTTTTAAGTGACATTATAAAGTGTTATAGTTAGCCTAAATAATTTTGTCCAATTACTAACATATGTTGAGAGGAAAAAAAAAGAAAAACTTAAAAACCATTGTTTCTTCCTAATTTTGTAATAATACATTAACCAGCTAGAAGTTACATTCATTATATTAAAGATTGCTGCTCAATTGGAATATTAGACTAAGAACTCAAAAGATTAGGTCTCCTTCATTTTTATTTTGAACCCTTACCATATTTAACAACAGCTCTTCAAAGAGATGAGGAGAATCCAAACAAAAACTCCTCAAAATGAAGGAGATCAAAATTCATGACACATACGACTTTCACTTAGGACGATTCTGAACAAAACAGCATTGAATTAAGAACTTCCACGAAGATGAAAAATCTCGATTCAAAAAGACAGAACAAAATATATTTTTACTCTGCATTTCTTAAGCTTGTAAAACTTGGAAGAAAAAAATTACACAAACTGTTTAAGGAAATGAGTAAAACACTATGTAAAATGTGTTTCTAGCTGTGAGAGCTATTCTTGCATTTATACTATTACTACTTTCTTAAACTGTTTTTCTTTAGACATTCTTACCAAACGTTACTTCTCCATTGCCACTCTTGTCAAATAACTGAAAAGCAACAATGAATATTGCATCTGGAGTACACAAAACAGATTCAAATGCCGAAAATTCTTGGAAGGAAATCAACCTACAAAGTAAAATACAGAAGTTATAAAGATTTCAATGGATTATACACAATATCAATAACATTTTGATGCTCTAAAAATGTTCTGATTCAATTACTAAAATTAAAATCTAATACTCAAAATTTAAGACTCTATACTAGAAAGAGTTGTTTGTTATAATTGAGTAGCTACTTAAGCTTTATGTGGCTCACTTTCTTGTACCAGAAGAGGACTGGAATTCTTCATACCCACTAACAATGAAATATAACCAATTCTCAGTGAGTACCTACTCTTTATTAACTCGTAAGTATAAATTTATGCAGATAGCACTTAAAAATTGATATATAAAAAAAAAAATCCACAAAAGTTCTATCAGTATGAAATTCAAGGATCTGTCAGTATATTACTCATTTTTGTATTTCTCACGAGAAATAGCTTTTAATGTAAGTATAGGAAGTTCCTATGCAATACGTATACTCTTAAAACAATATATTCATAATAAAGTTATATTTTACTGTGTTATATTTTACTATATTAAAGATAACACCTCAAATATTACATTAACCTTGAGGTCACATAAAGCAAAGAAAGGACAAGAAAGAAAGAAAGAAGAACGTTTGGACAGTTAAGACATGATCAAGGAAGCTAAGGATTTGAGTGTAACACTTCATCACAAGACAATGAGCTGCATATGTGAGACATTCACCATACAGAAAAATGTAACTCAGGATGCATCAGGAGACCTGTTTTTAGTCGAGATGAGGAAGCAGCCATATCACCAGACAGGGCTTTCACGACATCTCGGGAACGCTGCATACAAACCAAGGTCCTCGTTTTCAACACATACTGTTTTCAACACATACTTTGAATGGATGCACAGATACGACAATCACAAAGAACTTCTCTAGGGAAACAGTTTGTGACAAGTAGAAAAAAAAAAAAAAAAATAGGATCCTACATAAGAAAAGCTACAGCAAGACAAGCCTCAAGTCAGAAGATAAATGATCCTGTTGGCACAAAAGAACAAAACTGCACTGGGTATCCATAAGGACATGCAATGTGGGCACATGCCACCGCCTTTCAAAACAGTGCAAGCAAAATCCCTAGGTTTTAAAAACAACAACTAGATTGATGAGAATTTTCCACTCGGTTTCAGGCTCCTGAGTACAGACATAAGTGATGGCATAGCTATTTTAACATCAAATAAATTATCAGTGGGAATAAGAATTTTCAACATTTTTAAATAAAAACGTACTACTTTGTTAGATGTTGTTAAAACAAGTAGATATCATGTGGATGGTACATTAAATGTACATAAATGTCCAAATTTATAAAATGAACTGTTTTAGCAAGTTTCATAGTACATTTAGTAATATTCACAGAAAATCATTAGCTCATAATCATTGCTTCGTACATAGATCACTTACAATTAAACACACGTATAAAATCCTCATAGGGGAAAAACATCTAACCATTTGTTAGTTTACATAGTCTTTGTCAAAGTATATGCAACGTAGAGTTGAGACACTTGAACAAGATCATTTATTTTAACATACATGCATATATGCAGTATACAGAAAACACAAAAATAAATGTGACTTTGGAAGGAATTAAGATATGGAAAATATAGAATGACATTATTAATTTCTCATACATTATCCATAAAAATCAAAGATGAGAAAATGATTTTCCAAATGCAAAGCCAACTTCATGCCTCATTTCCAAACACATCTCACATACAAGCACAAATCTAACATTAATCCCTAAACAGGAAGGTTTATAACAGACAAAAATCAAGTGATGATTCCCTGTAGAATTCATTCTTGTAGAAACCTGAACCTGAAAGAAATTGTTCTCCAGAGAGCTCCCTTCAACAGTGCCTACAGCAAAAGGAGATAGACACATTCAACTTCCCTTCCATATATTCTATATATTCAGCTTGCAACATCTAAAAGCAGGAATATTTTGAGCAATCCACCATTATCAGGGTGGAAATAAGAGGTAGATTAAATGGAACAAATGAGCTTCCCAACCAAATGCTACTTAAGCCTTATTCTGTGAACCTGCTGCACTCTCATTTTATTGGTATCATTTTTTAAAAAATTCTATTCTCTTATTTCTTCTGCACTGTCACTCTCCAAAAGCACACAAAGTAAGCTACATGTTTACAGTTATTCTGTCTTTCCTTGTTTCCTACTACAACTTCTTACTCTTCACCCACACAACACAGCTTTTGGACATAACATATATCCTTGTTGTGACTGTCCATGAAGTGAAACATTGGCTCTTTCTTCAGTTCACTGAAGAACACATTTTCAAACTCTAAGAATGATATGCTGATAGGCAGAGTAGCCAGAAATAGGCAATTAAAATGTAGAATCTGAAACGACTACTGAAATTTTGCAGGTTCAAAGACAGAAGAAAGGGTTTTTTTTATTTTAAAACCTGAATATTTACAATATTAGATAGGACTTCTGTTACTGAAAAGGTGGTTTTGACACACATTTGTATATGAGTACATTATTAATAAAGGATATGTACCCTAATCCTAATTTTAAAAGTAGTGCCAGCAATCTGTGATACAGGAATGCTTAATAGCAGCATCAGTGAAATTCCACTGCATTTAACAGACAACAGACAACTCTAATTTAGAGTTGCTCATCAGGCAAGCCTGGCAGATTTTGAAAACTGACACAGGAATGAAATTTCATAACAGGACCAAAGCTTCTCAATTACTTGCTGCGTGACCTTGGGCTGTCTTTTGATTTACAAATGTCTGTATGGTATAAGAATAGTGATACTTCTTTGGACTTTATAAACTAATTTTTAAGACCTTGGAAGGATGCAGTGTACCACTGGAATTCAGCAAAAGACTACAATAACTATCAATGCTACAGATTAAATTCTCTGTACTGATGATGCAGGATTTTGGCATATTACAGGAAGGAATAATAGGAATTACTAGAAATAATAATGCAAATGCAAAAATAAGTAAACCAATGATGATGTGGGTATAGCCCTCTTCACATGAATTAACGAGTAGAGAAATACAGATTAAAACACTTAAGAGAATACATTTCAGCAAGTATCAACAGGTGCAAGTTCAATGCTTCCACATAGAAGCAGACGGAGCACACTTACCCATATCTGATTACCTCGCTTCCAACATTACCCAGACTAAAAAAAAGGCACCTAAGAAAAGCTTATATTCACAGAGGGAACAGCAACAAAAAAACACCAAAGTCTCATTGTCAAGTTCTGTTGTAGCAATAAGAAAAAAATTACTGACTTCTTACTGTAAGAAAGGTCCTTTTATATAATGTTTTCTGAAGAAATGTACACCCTAAAAGACAATCAACAGCTTTCAGAGAAACAAGGTACTCAACATGTTGATTTAGCAGTCATCAGATGTGTACATACTTAATCTGTGCATTTTTAAAGTGTCTGAATCTGAATCAATCTTCAATCTGAAACAACACAACAAACTACTGCCACGCATTACAAGCAGTAGACAAGTTATTTGGATTTATCAAACATATGTATATATATTACATTTATCAAAATGCTGCAATTTTATTTTTGGAAGCTATCAAGTAACATTACATCAAAAAGGAGATCTTAGAGTTGTCACTTACTATAAAATATATGCAGCATATAAAATTCTGTTTGTAAAGCACAGAGACTGTGCAAGTTGCTCAGGATGCTGTGCAAACTAATAAAGTGTTCTTAAACAAAATAGAGAAAAACAAAAACATTTAAGTGATGTCAAGAGTCTGGTTCAGACTCATAAAGCCAAGGAAGTTAAGGGACTTTCAAATGAATATATGACATCTATTTACAGACTTCATTTTAACAGCAACTTTCTATCTCTTCCCTATAATGCACCCTCTTCTTTCTGCAGTTTTGACTTCTTCTCTGATTCATCTTGATCTCTCCACTTTAAAAATGCCCATGCTTGCACACAACAAAAGAAAACTCTTCTCTGAAAGACAAATAGGTTAGAGGGTACTACCTCACTAGAATGGGCATTTAATATGTTAGTTTCAGAAAGAAGTCTAAAAGCAACTAACATTACCTATAAGCAAAGCCAGAAAAGCTTTATGTGGTGTGATCTCATCCGGATTAGGCAAAAACTTAAAAAAAAAAAAATAATAATAATAATAATAATAATAATAAAAGCCCTCAGTTGTTTGATGTAAATTGTGCTCCTTCTCCACATTTCCATGTATAATTGTGCTTACTAAGGACTCTTAGTATCCAGTCATGGATGTGAGTACACAGAAAGAAAACAACTTTTGCAAAGCAGTTACACTGCATTAAACTGATTTACAGTGTATCTTCCTCTGCATTTGCAGTAACTGCCAAATCTCATTTAGAAGTGTTAACCATTGTCTCTTTCTCCCCCTCAAGTTCCACAAATGTAGTCTACTGCATTTGAGAAAAAAAATAATTTAACTAAGCTTGAAGAATAATGAAATCAAGAGTGCATTTTTGAAGATGAAATTACTAAAGAAACATTTATCAACGCATTACAGTCTTCTAACGGAAAAAAAAATTCTCACCCATCTTTAGTTTGATCTGCCACTCCAGCCAACAGCTGTACTGTTTTAGGATTGTAACGTGGATCTGTATGAAGTCCTAAGTATTTCTGCACAAAATCTTCTGGGGTCATGTAACGCTCTCCATCTTTCTCAACACTGGCATACTAGAGAGATAACAAAAAAACAAACCATATAACAATTAATCCATCTAGACATTAATTACCGGTGATTACCAAATCAGCATCTTTATGAATATCACTCAAATACTGCAACTGCATGCACCTGCTCTGAAATTAAAGGATATGGTTAAAACATGCAATTGCACTGCAATACTAGCTGTCCATGTTGTCCCTGTAGAATAATGTATCCACATCATGATCACTATCTTAACAAAAAAAAAAAAAAAAAAAAAAAAAAAAACCCACAAAAAGACATTTTCATAAGTGGTCAGGTAATTGCACAAATTTACAACTACAGCTTTTTCATTTGCAGTTGCACTGTGAAAACAGAGCACAAAATTCCTCTCAAAGTTTTAGTACAAGATGTCTTCTAATTAATTGATACTAATCACTCATAATTACTGTACATACTTATCAAACTGTTTTCTCCTTTTGTGAGAAATAGTTTTTCAGATTTATGTTTGTCCAGAAATGAACAGCTCTGGCATTTCTCACTTACATAAAAAAACCTCACTGATCATGTATAAAAATTAATTCAAGATGGCAAAACTGTCGCAGAAAATTTTTTTCTATTTATGATATAACAATAAACTTAGACACAAAACTTAAGTATTCAGATTGTAAAATTAAACTGTTGACATACTAGAACATAGAAAAGTAGCTCATAAAAGATTTCTAGTTCACTAACTTACCATGATCAGATGCATTTTATTGACTGAATTTTTCTAAGCATATTTGCTCACAAAACCCGTAAACAAGCTTATTTAATAGCTTTAAATCCTTTTCCTCCTGTACAGCCAGTCCACTTGTACACAGAACGCAAATCTTCACATAAACACATAGAAACGTGTTCCTTCAAAGAAACAATAAGTTACAAAATTTCACAGTTGTTTCATGAGAATATTAATGTGAAATGAAAGTACTGGCTTTCAGTTTGTTTGTACAAATGCAGTACATGTTCCTAGGCTCCAGCCATTGAAAGATGTCAGCCTATGAGCTCTCTGCAGAAAAGACAGTGCCCACTGCATTCCCCTCAGCTAGTGCAACATTTATGTGAGGAAATCTGAACTTCAATCTAAGGCCTTATCCATCATTTGTAGCATTTCCATTACACACTATTACATCTTGGCTCAGGTGAGACAGGTTTTAGTGAAAGAGTAACAAAAAACAGCTCCTGCAAGGAACTCACAGGAATGACAATGCCACCTGTACAACATACCTGGTAAGCTGCAACATTCTGTTGGGATAAAGAAGATCACTTGTGTCTCATATGCTCCTTTTACCACATTCTGCCAGGATGTTTCAGCATAGAGTATCAGCACCAACATCCCCTCAGGCATCTCCCTTAGCTTCCCACATCTTTTCCAAAACTCCTCATCTCTACTGCACCATATAGTAGTGATAAGAGATTTTCGCAAGACTGCAGTAAATAATTTCACTCGCAATGGACACGAATCCTGCCATTCAGCGCTACTACCAACATGATGAAAACATAGCTTCAATGTAACAGCTTAGAAAAGTTCTCAGCCTTTGTATAATCAATGAATATACAGATGTTCTAACTAAGAAATACCCAGGAAAGTTAGGTGACTTTTTAACGCAACAGGAGGATAATAAATGGAAAGTGCTTACTGATGTTGTAGGCTTGCAATATTCTCTACAAGGAGCCACCACCAGAAGAGATCCTTCCTCAGTGGCAGTCAGCACTTAAATGGGTCTGGGAGAGGTAGAGCCAGGCTCCATCCCTTCCGGTAGCACAGCTGAATTGCCTTCACCTGTGCTCCTGTGGCTGACTCATGGCTCGCCTCAGGTGCTCAATCAGAGGCTCAAGCTGTGATTCCACAGTTCCCATACAGCCTTATATTGATATGACTAAAAAGCACGTTATGAAGTACAGCTCTGCTGCAACACCCGTAATCTGAATGAAGTTTTATAAACAAAGGACCACAGAATATGAAGAGCATTGAACACATCCTTAAGGGCAACAGAATTCAACTGCGTGACAAATGAGGGTGTTACAAAGATAATAAAAAATCCAAACGCCATTGTCTTTTTAAATTCAAGCACCAACTTACCTGAATATATCGCACATAATGGATTCTTAGAGTTAGGTGTAGGGGAAATTTTGTTAAAAATTTTGAGACTAAAATAATCAAAGGACAGATACATTCAGCTCCATACGAGAAGGTCATGATATTTAGAAAGAGCCTGGCCATAAGCCAATAAATTAAGGCCTGACAAAGTAGCTAGGCTATTCCCTTTTGGCATGTACTTATAAGATCTGTCCTCAAGTGACATTTTCACCATACAGCTTACATATCTTTTGCAATTAGACAAGGCCATTGTTAACTTTAAATTGCATATAAAATATGACACACTAATTAAATTTCTCTTTTCCTCAGGCTTAAATTAGATTACTGTTTATTTACGTATACATTTTTTAATCTTACTGTACATTTATGGACTGCCTCAGGCACACGGTGAGTTTGCATGATCTTTTTGTAAACCTCATCACAAAATGCAAACACACAAAAACTCTATTTGTACCACATCGTATGAGGTATCACCACACTTCTACAAGCGATGCACAGTTTGAAAAATCAGTTAGCTTTCAGTTTAAAGGGATTTCTCTCCCAACAATTCTATCAGGGCAAAGGAGAAAGAAGTTCCAAAACAAAAGAGTTCTGTAGTATTCTCAATATATTATTTTTAGTATGATTAGTCTCAGTTCTGAGCATTCAGGACGTTTTTAAGGAAGGTGGGGGGAATGCTTCCTGTATGAAAATTTGAAAATGCTATCATGATTATTTCTCCACTTTGCTGAACAGGTTTCATTTGCATTCAGCCAAGCTTCAGAAATTCTAAGAGAAAGGTAAAAGTCAAACATCCATTAATATATACCTTAAACTTTAACAGAGAAGTTGGCATGATTGTATTGGAAGATATATATGAATATAAGGAAATTTAAGTACACTCTCTAAGAATAAGGTCAGTGACGAAGGAGCCCACAGTTCCCATCTTCCCTTGCATCCATTTGCAAGGGAAGCCAAATTTAGAAGGAATGCTCGCCCTTTAACTGAAGCTGACAGAACGAGCCTGCACCCTCAGGAAAGAGCACAACATATCTGACCCTTTAAGTGTGCAACACTAAGAGTATTTCATAACCAGAATCTACAGCCGAGTCTTGGAATGACTGGGCTCTCTTCAGATTTTGTTAATGTTTGCAACTAAGTTTGCTTGCTATCTATCAAAGTAAAAATATAATATAATCTTCAACTAGAATTCTATAATTCTATAGCCCATCTCTCCAAAAATATATATACTCTTCCTATGCAACTGTGTGTCTGAGTAACCTGTCTTTTGTTTTTCAATACAATCCTCGGGCACTCAGGGGAGATGAGAACTTTTGCACTTTTGATTCCTCAGGGCATCAACCTGTAGAGTATTTGCTTTTTAGGTTAATAAAACAGACACTGTCATATCAACATCTTCAAGATTAAGCTTTTTCTCTCTTTTTCTTTCCACTTTTTTTTTCTTTCTTTTTCTCTCCACTTTTTCGTGTATCACCAATGTCAAGGACTCCAAATACTTATTTCTAGAAGCAAGTACATCTATTGACTAGGAGATTGATACTGAGTCTACTTTTCCAAGTTAAATAGAGTATTTTCACATCATAATTCCTGTTTTTTTGTAACCCAACATGCAGAATTATCTTTCTTGAAAAAGTCTACAAAAAGAGCAATGTGATGTTCCAGAAGCACATACTTTTATACCATTTGTGTATTCCTTGTACATAAAAAAATCCTAAATGTCTCGTGAACAAGAAATGAATCCGTGATAGAGTAACTTCAACTTGAAACTAACATTTAGGCTTTCATGGTTTGACTCCAAAAATCTAAGTTTTTCTGTTGTTTCTGACAAACAATACAGTCAGAATAATCCATTCTACAGAGCAAAGATCCCATCAAATGATGGTTGAAACATAATATCTCTCTACGCGTCAGAGATGCCATAACAGAATTCATTATTTACAGAATCATGGAATCATTAAAGTTGGAAAAGACCACTAAAATAATCTAGACCAATCATCAACCCATCACCACCATGCCCACTAACCCACGTTCCTAACGGCCACATCTACTCTTCTTGAACATCTCCAGGGACAGTGACTCCACTGCCTGCCTGGGCTGCCCATTCCAATACCTCACCACTTCTGACAAGAAATTTTTCCTAATACCCAACCTGAGCCTCCCCTGGCACAACTTAATGCCATTCCTTCTGCTCCTATCACTGTTAGCTGGGAGAAGAGGCTGACCCCTGCCTCACGACAACCTCCTTTCAGGTCACCATAGAGAGTGACAAGGTTTCCCCTGAGCCTCCTCTTCTCCAGACTGAACAACCCCAGTTGCCTCAACTGCTCCCCATACACTTCTGTTCTAGACCTTCCATTGCTTCACTGCCCTACTCTGGACATGCTGCAGGGCCTCAATATCTTTAACGTTGTGAGAGGCCCAAAGCTGAACACAGTAGTAATACTTATATATTACTTCCTTCTTTACAGAGCAGTTTTTTGAATGTAGTGTGCAATTTTCAACAGGAAAGAAAAAAGATACCGTTGTGATTTTAGAAAATGAGTGGCCCAGCTATGGACCTAAACCAGCTGCGATTATTCTAGACACCTATTTCCAACCTTCTCAAATGTTATAGGATTGATCGGCTTTTCTTTTTAGATTGGTGGTTCACTGTAACTAAGAGGAGTGGATAAAACAACACTATTATTCAGATAGAGTAATTCTAATGACCTACGTGACAGGTAATACTATGAAATACATAAATCTTAACAATAATAATTCAAAATTCTGAAAACATTGCCAACAGCCCATCCATCTGCAGAAGGATCACAGCTAAAGCTTACAGACAAGTCACACAGCCATAGAAGTCAGAACAAAGCAGAAGCCTGCTCTTAAAATAACAGTCTTGGTTACAGTTGCAATCATTTCTGTCACAGGAATTTAGAAAAGACTTCGGAAAACACTTTAAGGCTATGATGTGGGATGGATAACCACAACCCGCACAGCAGCAGTTCCCCTCAGTGCCTGAGGCCCCTACCCTGCGTGCAATGTCAGCTTCTGTCCACATAACCGATTTTGTCCCATCACCCACACACAGACGGTGCTGTGACAAACAGCTGAAAACACAAGCCTGCCGGCCAAGGAGCATCAGACCCGTCTGTTTACCTGCAAAAAGATACTTCGTAGTTCGGCAGGATCTGCTCTTTTGATGGAAGGCACCTGCAAATAAAAGTATGGTAACGCTTCACCAGCTGAGCTACAGACATAACTCAGGAACAAAACGCAATTCGCGCCGATAAGGGCAGCGGTATCGGCTCCCTTATCTAACCGATAAGCGGACTCAAACACGACACGCCTGATCACCGCCGTCCGCCCGGTCAGCCGGGTACCGCTGACCGCCGTCTCAGCGCGCCGCGCCCCGTCCCTCAGGATGCGGAGCTCCGGGCCCCGACTGTTCCGTCCCGCACACGCCGACTAATGGCCTCGGCCCGCGCCGCTCCCCCTCGGCAGGGGAAGGCAGGACCGGTAGCGCTGCCCCTTCCCCGCGGCCGCCCCGCCGCCGCCGTCTTCCTCCCGCATCTCCCCGGGAGGACGGAGCGGCCGCCCGCCTCCTCCCGCGCCCGACGACGGAGGAGTCACCTTGACCGCCATGCTGCGCCGGCGAACGGGAGAAGGAGGAGGAGGAGCCGCGCGCTTCTACCCACCCGCCGCGCCGCCGTGGGAGGCAGCGCCCGGCCCCGCCCAGCCCCGCCCGGCGGGCTCTCCGCGGCGCCCGGCCCTCCGCCGCGGCGCCCGGCGGCCCCGCGCCTCGAAATCCCGCGGCGGAGTGGGCGGTACCAGCCGGGGCCAGCGGGCTCGAGCGGCCGCCTGCCCAGCTCCGCGCCTCAGCGCCACGGGGTGTGGGGCCGCCGCCTAGGGGAGGGAGGCGCTCGCTCGAGTCCCGCGCCGTCGGGGGGGGAACTCCCGGCGGCGTCTGTCGCGGCCCAGGGAAATGGGAGGGCGCTTCGGCCGCGCCCCTCGGCGCGGCAGGGTAAGGGCAAGGGAGCGGCCGGGCACGCGGCCGTACGGCGCCTCACGGCTGCGAGGGTCGGAGCGGCTTGCGTGACCGTAAAGCTGAGCGGAACCCTCCGGGCCGAGGTAACGCAGACCGCCCGAGGGCAGCTCGGCGTCGCTACGGCGCTTGCAGAAGGGATTCTGAAGAAACCTGCCTGCTCGGCGAGCGCCAGCCGCCCCGCCGCTGCGCTCCATGGGGGGCGGTCCGGACCCGGAGGCAAAGCCGCCGACGCTCAGTGCGATCGCCCCCGGGGCCCCTGAGCCCGCTCGGCACCGAGGCAGGCGCGAGACCGAGGCACGCTCTACGCGCGCCCAGCGCATCAGAGCGACCGCGCGATGGGGCTGCCCTGAGGGCGGGGCTATGCAAACGAGCACTCCTTAAAGGCTCCACGCCGGGACAACGCGATCTTCGACATACAGCCGGGCATGCGCGCGCAGTCCCAAGCCTCGCCGAGCACAGCCGTTGGTTCTCCGCCGCTTTTGGGCGGGCGGAAGCGGAAGCGTGTGCGCGTGTTCTCATTTCCGTCGAGTGGGCGCGCGGCTTGATTCGTTCTGCCCGGGTGACTCGGTCGCCGCCGCCGGGAAATGGCGGGTGAGTCCTAGGCCGGGCCCAGCCGGCTCGCGGCCCACCTGCAGCTGCTGAGCGAGGCGGCGGGGAGCAGGGCTGGGTGTTGCCGTCGGCTTTCTCTTAGGGAGAGCGTCGCCCGGAGCGCGGACGGTGCCCCTCCCCTCGGCTGAGCCCGAGTTTGTGCCGGGCCGCAGACGGGAGCAGGGGCCCCTCGGTGGCCTTAACATCCTCAGCAGAGGAAGCGGAGCAAGAGCTCGGGCCCTGGGTGTCGGTTGTGGGCTGGGCGGCCGCTGCCTTGAATTTGCTCTGCACCTGAGCCGTGTGGCGCGCCGTGTGCGGCTCTGCCCGCCCGGTTATTGATAGCGTTTCCGGCCTAACCTCATTCCGAGTAATTTGAAATGCGAGGAAGAACTTCTGATAATGCTGCTGGAATTGAAAGGCAGGATGGGTTTGACGCGCTTGCAAAATACCTTGATAGGTGACACAAGTTTTGTGCACTAGATTAGACTTTGGAAAACAGGGTAGCTGTAATTTCCTTCCTTCCTATCTGCTCTGGAAGGAAAGTAATGGCTAGATAATGGCTGGTAGCATTCCTCTCACAGTTCAGGAACACCTGAAATGCATTAACTCTTACTCAAATGTGGTATCTGCATATATTTTGGAAAACACTTTATAATGAGAAAGCAGATTTACTTTAAAAAGTAGGCAGAATGAAAAGCTAGAACTTGCAGGAAGAACAGTGCACTTTGAAATGAAGTCAGTGTTACGAAGTTGTTTCTTCTGTTCTTAAGAACCTTTTGTTAATACTTTCCATGAGTTAGACTGACCCAGATTGTACATATCTAAACTCTTTCAAAAACTCTTTTTCTTTAGGACTTACTCCTATGGAGAAGAAACTGGCTGAATACAAATGTAACACAAACGAAGCAATTCAGCTAAAACTAGGTAATGTCAGTTTTTAATTATTGTGTGCTCAGAATATTTTAACATCTATTTAATATTAAAACCCTTATAATTAAATCTACCTAGGTTATAATATGTACTTATTAATATACAGACACAAGAACAGGAACACATAGTCCCATTTTGTTGAGAATAGGAAAATGCAGCTACAGAAACTCAGGCTTGTACCTGCATAATAACATCAGCAATTTATGTTACTAGAGTGCATTGGAATTATGTCACCTTGTTCTTGAGGTATTAGTATGTTCTTTTAGTTTCTTCTCTAGAACTTTTGCTACAATATAGTCTGAAGTATGCATCATATTTCTTTTGAGGAAATGATAAGCACAATAAATAAAACTGGAAAGTGTTCTTTGGTTTGTTTTTTCCACCTCTCCCTCAACATCTAAACAACACAAGCCATTTTCAACAGTCTTTAAAATCTACATAGAAGTGCTACTCCCTATTTTTCAGAACTGTTTATTGTTTCATATGGCTAACTTGCAAACTTGCTTACTGCCACATCCAGAATACAAGCAGAATTACTGAACTCTTGTTGGACTGACTAATATCTGAAACTTACTTGTATTGGTAATTAATAAGAGAAAAATAGGTAATACAGCTATGCTTTTTTATCTTTCCAAACCTTCAGCATTTTGTTTCCTTGAACAGTACAAATAGCATCACTTATCAAGAAAGTAAAAATAATTTTTAAGCACTCTGAAGAACTTCTATTAACAGTTGGTTCTGCAGAACTTAGACTTTTAAATGCATAATTGGCTTGTGAGACAAAATGTTATTCTTATCAAAACATGTCTTTGAGCTGCTAACCTGTGAATCATTTCTCTTCCATTTAAACAGTTGTTCAAATACTCATTTTGTGACTATTATATATAATCTATATATCTAATGTTTTGACTTTCCACTTCTGCCTTTCTAAAACCAAAGGAAAGGATGAAAAGTTATAGAATATATCTGAGTAAATTTTATCAAGACATTTGAGGAGTCACTCTATCAGTTTTCAGGGAGACTGCTTTTTCACTTGTTCCCATTATCTCATGTCACCTAAGATTTTCAGTTTACTTTTTTCTTTTTGAGAGCATAGTTTTGGGTTTGTTTTTTTTTTTTAATCTTGCTACTTTGTCTCAACTGTGTTGCTTTCTGAATCTGTTTTTGAGAGGGCTGAGTTTCATCCTGTTATTAAGAAACTCATTTATTTTACTCCCTGAATAACTTAATTAATGGGAAATTCTTTTTACTTCATCTCCAGTTCTACTGGGGTAAAACAGCAATGAGGTTGTAGTTTTATATTTTCTTAATTAAAAAAGAACACTTAATAGCACTGTTAAGTCCTACAGCATTGCATGCACTTGTAACTCATTCTAAATTAGTATGTAACTGTTTTCTTGAGCTACCTATACTTCATTCATGGGGCTGAACAATCACATTAACAGTAATTAACGTAACGTTAAGTAATTAACGTAACGTTAATTAATTAACGTAATTAAGAATTACGTCCCTTCCAATTTTAGGCAGTTATTTTAACTATGAATGGAGAGGATATCTGGGAATTAAGTATTTCAGTTTTCTCTAAGTCTACCTAGAAAATCCTACTTTAGGGATTAATCCTTCTGGTTTCCCTCACTAATCATAAATTTTGTGATGGAAGAACTTCAGTCACAGTTACTGTGCAGTAGCCACTGCTAACTCTGTAAGCATGAATAAAATACTTGTTTGCTACATTACTGAGTGTGAATAGATGCTACTTTAGCAAATGCTTTCTTGTTACTAGCAAAGACCTCTAACACCAAGGGTTTGAAGAAAAATAAAAGTTGTGGGAGAATTGCTGATTATTTGGTAATATTGGTAAAAATACCAATATTAGTGTAGATTTGTATGTATCCATGCCAATTCTCCAAAATTGTAATGTGAATATTAATGCCCATAAACATTTCTCTGTTCATCATTCTGTGAAGACTCCCTACAATGAAGCGTTCTGAACTGCATGTGAGAGAAGAATGACAAAATGAGAAGGAAGCTTTGATTACGTGATTGGTCTTGCTTACTGTAAGAATATCCAGCTGGGCTGTGTCCTTAGTGTTCACCACGAAGTAAAAGTCAGTCATTCAGGATATACATACGAAATCATATACGTCTGTGTCAATTTCTCCATTTTATTGTGCTTACTGATTTGATTTGAGGAAATAACTTGCATCTGATTTGCACAGTTTTTATTTTGTTTGTGTGCCAGCGTAATGTATGTTCATAACTGAAATTGTTTATAGTGAAAGAATGCGTGGACGTCTAGCATAGAATTCCTGTATGAACAAACTGAAGCTGATGACTTGGTTATGCTCTTTTTTCTTCTCAGTTCGCTTTCCTGAGGATTTGGAGGATGACAACACAACATTTAATCCAGAGTATAGCCATCAAGTGTTTGGTGATGAGTAAGTTAAATTATTCAGAGTTAAATTAATAGGTCTTAAGGGTAATCTTGTTTCCGAATTGCTTTAAAAATAAATAAATAAAAAGAAAAAAGAAATAATGCTACCAAACTATTGTAAAGTGACATGGCAGTACTTCAGTTTTGTGATTTTATGGTTAAATAATGGCTTTGAATCCTAGCCTCTGGAGTTTTGGCCTTGTAGTCATTTTATATGGTATTTTAAAGGTACTTGCAGAGAACAAAATGCCTGGATTGCACGGTCAGAATTGCTCATTTCAGCTGCTATTGTGTTCAAGTCATCATTATAAGATTTGCAAGAATTAATAGTTTTATTAAAACTTTCACAGTGAAGAGTGCCGAAACCAAAAAGCATCTGTCAATAGTATATCCATTTATTTGTTTGGTTTTTTTTAAATAACAATACACCATGGAATTTTTAATTAAAGAAGACCATAGATATTAACTTAAACTCAATTTCTTGGCTGTTTCAGATCACTGATTGTTAAATATTTAACTCAGGTTTTCTCTACTAGAGATGATAGACTTCATATAAGTTAAATGTTCAGGGGATACACAAACTGTTTAGAAAAACAATATAGTTTTCTCTCCAAGTATTTTTTCATTTGTATTGTAGGCAAGTTTGCCACTGCGTCCCTAGTGCTGAAATGTCATTTAATATTTTCAGAAGAGCAGTAGTAAACACTCTGGCTGTAGCCAGAAAGAAAAGGAAAATCCACATGCACTTAACTCTGGACTACTTATTTTTCTTAATTTACAATTCCTTTAAAAAGCATTCTAAGTACTTAGAGCAGGATGCGCTATCTGTATTAATTATACCTATACTGAAATAGGTACAGTAATTAAATGTAATAAAATCAGTTGCACTACTGCATGTCTGCAGCTGTCATTGAGAGTCATTGCACTTCTCATAATGGGAGAACTCTCCAATCTGTCGGTGTAGTGAACGGGCACACTTTTATTCTGGCGTTTCAAACTTCAAATTAGCGATGTGTTACCACAAGAAAAGATCAGGTTTTATAAAAAAAAAAAAAAAAGAAAAAAAAAAAATTTTTTGCATTTTTTTTTTTTTTTTTTTTTTTTGCCGGAAAATAAATTCTTAAGACTTAAATGTAGTGTTTATATTCAGGAAACATTTTTTTTTCCCAGGATATTTAAAATAAATAGAGCATCTCTTCCATAGTTATTTTTAACTTGATTCTAATAATACTGTTCACTAGAAACATACTTGTTGCTACGACTTGTATCTGGGTATATTATACAGTATGGCTTGCAGTAGTATGTTCCAAAACTTTACACTGCTATACTAAGTTTTAGTAAGCGTTGTTTATCAATTTGTATTAATATTAGTGAATGTAAGACAATGATGAACATAAATGCAAGATTAGTTATTTCAAGTATCTTTGAGTTATTGCCATAAATATACAGTTGCTGTCTTACTGAGTTCAGGGATGTGTTCTGTTTCTCCCTAGAGGAGCAAATTTACTAATAAGAACAATGTAAGGCATTATCTCTGTCTATATAGCATACATCCAGCTTGATTCTCTTTGACTATTAAAAGGTTTAGTACACCTCACTTGGAAGAAGGATGTGGATTTAAAGTCTTAAATACTGTGGTTTGAATATTTTGCAATGAAACTCATTTAGAGGTCTGACTGTGCTGTTTTCCTTCCTCAGTGAAGTTGCCTTTGGCTACAAGGGACTGAAGATTCTCTTATACTATATTGCTGGTAACCTGTCAACTCTCTTCCGCATTGAATATACATCTAAAGTTAATGAGAAGTTTGACTGTGTGGAGGTAAAGACAGAGCCAGACTTGTACTTATTGGGAACACTTTATGGGGACAAACCTTCTAGGGCTACTTATTGCCCTTCCAAACATGTTACATTAAAAATAAAGCTTCCTATTGTGTTAACCAGAAAAAAAAACATAAAACTTATTTATATATTTTCTCATTGTTCTTTCTTTTGGACTCTACTACTGCCATCAAAATTGTACCAAACGAAAAAAAAAGTCTATTTTCATGCTAGCTGTCTCCAGGAGAGCTAGGGGTTTAATTCCTATTTAAGAGACTACATTAGGAAAGAAAAATGAATTTTTTGGAGTAGATTCTGGTGCATTAAGAAAATTGAATATCATAATTGAATATCATCTGAGATTTACTTAGTTATAGGCAAGGAAAAAATGATTTATTTTGAAAAGAGCTGTTAATAAGGTGATTGGTGAATCTTCACAATATTCTGTAGTGTGAAGTGGTTGTACGTTTGCACTGACTTCAAATTACTTTGCCCAAGAAATCTATTCTCGTCAAGAGTAAACATCTTTAAGATTTAAAGTTCATATTTCAAATTCATCAGAGTTTATTTAAATGCTTTCAAGGAAAAGGCTTTCTAAACAAAAATTGAAATGACTGTGTTAAATTAGTTTTACAGGTTTTTGTTTCTGTGTTCTGAAGCTGCGTTAGAATATAGTTAGTTCAACAGGCTAAGTGTCTGGACATGTCTGAAATACTCCTGAGGCTAGGGCAGCCTACCTTAAGAGTGAAAGGTCATGTTCTTCAATGTTTGTAAGGTTTTTAGAAGTAAAGAAAAAAGGAAAGCCAGTTGGTTAAGTGATAACCATATTAAAATCAAACAGACCACCTCTCCTTCCAGCCTTTCACCAACATAATTTCAAAGTCACGTCACAGTGGGAATCCACACCTCAACACATTTGTATTGACGTGCTATTTTCCGCACAAATAAAGCCACTTTTCTTATCTGGAAGTATAAACAAAGTAAATGAGCCCTGAGTTTACACTGCAACTATTTCCATTGCTCAGAATCCTTCCTACTTTCAGGCTCAGTATTGCCTCTATTGAATTATTTTTCAATTGCATAATGGAGTGATAGGGACAAGAAAGAATATCCATTTGAGCTAGCTTCCAGATAGTTTTCTGCAGGCTGTGGCTGAAGAACTTTCACTGTGCTTCCCCTGATATCACTAACAGACTGTGTGTCCTAATAAGCTGCTCATGTGACAATATCTGATCTACTACAGGGGGAAAAAAAAGATACAGCAGCCAGACTTGTTCTGCCATTTATATTTGCTATTTAACTACCTTAAAATATTAACAATTTGCAGAGATGAAAATAAGCACAGTGTTAATTTAAATGGTATTACCATTTACTTTTCTAAGCTAACTGTTTAGTTGCTTAGGTCATTTGGGTTAATCATATTAATGCATGAACTATAAATGCTATGCATGACAGATAATCTTTGTGCTTCAAATAAATGGTGTTCAGGAAAGGACATAAGTCTCTGCTTTGAACAAACTGGTTACAAGTGAGAATTGAGCTTTAATGCTGTTTAGTTATTCATACTCTTGCATTTTGTATCTAAAAGCCCACGCAGGCCATTTGACCCCATAGTATTAGCTGTTTTTCCAAGGTCTCTTAACCAGGCATATTTACGCATCTTAATATGTTCTCTATGAAGATGCTTCTATACTGCACTAGTGGGGAAGGCTCAGCGGAGTCTTGTCATGTTTTGAACAGATGTATGTTCTTCTCTGGCACTTCATTTAATGAAAATAGACAGAATTTATCCATTGGGTGGCGTCAATTCTTTTAAACATCTGTAGAGAGGCTGCTTTCTTCTGGTATAAATACGAATAGCATTGACCTCTGAATTGCTAGCTGCTTTCAGATTTGCAGCTGTACAAGTAGCTTCCTTTTCTTCCAGTTTTCATGATGGAGTGAGGGAAAGTATTTCACTAACCTCTGAAACAATCTTTACTATCCACGTGTTATCGTGCTTTGCAGCTGGTCTGATGTATTTGTTTTAGCTCAAGTTAATGAAAGTGCAATTTTAATATTGGATATACTTTAACACTGCAGATGATTCCACTGCTCCTCACTGGCGTTAATATTTATAATTGGTAGAAAAGCTCAGCTTTCAAACGTATTTCTATGGTAACTTTTAAGTGAACGCACCACTTTGAAATAGCATGAAAACATACACAAATGTGGTAACTGCCTATTAGTATAATTATATTAATATTATCCAGAGTCAAACGTAATGTACGAAGAGATCCTGATGGCTCAATTAGTCCTACTACAAAACAGGTTACAAGTCCTTACTGTGTTCCCTATCTTCATCTCATAGGATTTCCTTAGGAAGGTAATACATACTGGTGCTTGGAAGTCTTGTTTTAATTGTGGATTATTTTACGTATCTTCTGCAGATGTGCAAAATGAAAGTCACTAGCAGTGATTTCCTCTGACTTCATCACCAGGGCAGGATTAAGATCTGTGTAAATACACTTGCAGTCTGAAAGAAAGATGAGCATTTCTGAAATGCTGTGCTCCTTACAAATACTCATTCTTGTTAATGTATATAATTCAGTGATTCAGCAAAACATGGCTCACTTTCTGTTACGCAGTTACATTACGAAATGCAAAGCAGATACATTAAGCTAGCATTGCTTGAAGATGAACAGAAAGGGGCCTTTGTTTTGAGAACAAAATTGATGTAAAGGCTGTAGACATTTTCACTGCGTTGTTATAGCAAGTATTGTAGAGCTATATCTTAATCGCTTTATAGTGCTCTCTACAAATATAAATATAAATGTTGGTAGTACCAAACCATTAAGAATAAAACTTGTTTGTGCTGAACCACATCCATCTTTCTCTATACTAAAAATGTAACTGAATGATGAAGTGCTATTCATTTGCAGGTGCATTGCCTCTACTTAAGGAAGGATGGTTGAAAGGACAGGAATTAGTAGCATGTTGTATTAGCCTTTTGTAGTGTATTTTGTTCTAAGCATCTTAATTTCCCTGTTTTGAATGCTAAGTAGCGAGGGTCTTGGTTTCAAACTAATACCCATCATGCACATAAACGGTGTGAAAGAGCTGCTTAGTAAGTTAACACAAAGTGTTCTTGTGTCAGTCCTTGTGGAAATAGATACAATACAAACATTACAGCTGAACTCACCGCAAACTCCATTAAGTAAAAACCTGGATTCATTGTCCAGAGGAAAGTTTGAATTGAATGTAAGCTCATTTTGTTGAATGTAATGTCAGGCTTTTAGGGGCTGTATTGAGGAGTACTGTTTTGTTAAGTTGAGACCAATTCATTAAGTTTTATTGCCTGGTGAGAAGCAGTAATACGTTATTGTGAAACTTCATCAAATATTCATGGTTAAAAAGAAGTAGTAAATGTATTCAATCAAGTGGTCTTTTTGGGGTCTGAAAAGGATTATGAAGTCTGCTCAGCTGATAGTCTGTAACTTTCAGTTTGGTTAACTGAAAAGGGTAATTTTGATCTCTGAATTTAATGTTGGTGTCAGAATATTTCTTCCCTCTCTGCTAAGTTAAATTTTACATGTCAGAATTATTAACCATATTTCTAAATTGTATTTTTTATTTTGTCAGCTTTGTTTTCAAAATATTCTTTGATTAGAGTACAAGCAAGCATTTCCAGCACAGACACATAAGGATGCAAGAGTGGTGCTAGCTGTCACTTTCTTGTTTGGGAGCTACCATTTTTTTTAGTCTTTGTTCCTTTTTCTCCACTCAGTTCCGTACCCCCTAATACCAGTTATGGTGTTTGTTTGGGAATCCCAGTTCCACAAGACTGTGCAGCATGGTCACAGAGGTTTGCTGGACGAAAAGCCTGAGCTACCAATTTTATTGCATTTTTCAGAAACTAATGTTTCATCCAACGAACTAGGAAAACAAGAATATTGTTCCTAGTGCTTGATTGAATCCACAGCTTCCTTCCTTATCTTGCTGGTATTCCTTGTGTTCCTTCACACCGAATTTTTATTAGAATAGTTATCAACCCTCTTCGATTTTGCTTAGACAAATTAACAGTCACTAAATGTAAACATGTTCAGGAACTTATTTATGTTGTAACTACTAGCTTTTGAATACTGATAATGGCTCAACTGACCCTTTTGTGTCTCTTCAGTTATCTTTATCTGCTCAAAGGTCTGAACAACAGGAATATTTGTCTTTTTTAAAGTTACTGATAGGCCATAGCATTCCTTTTTATACTCATCTCTATTAGCAAAATGATGACTTTGCTGTCTTTTTAATCTTCTGCTGATCCCGCCCTGTTTTGTATTCCCCAGGCAGATGATGTTGAAAGTAAAATTAGAGAAATTATTCCTCCTGGCTTTTGTACAAATACAGATGACTTTGTCTCTCTGTTGGAAAAAGAGGTCAACTTTAAGCCCTTTGGAATGCTACTACACACATATTCTGTTCATAATGAGGAAGCTGGTGAAGACATTGCATATCAGATATATAAGGTATGAAAAATAAGTGAAACTTCATAAGCAAGCAAATTAAAGTTTATTTTGCAGCGAGGCACCTTCTGTAACGCTCAACATATATATATATATATATATTTACATATACATATATAAATATTATCATTTGACCAACTTATTGGTTAGAAGCATGCTTTTTTTTTTTTTTTTGTATGGGGGGAAGTAATTAGGTTTTGCAGGTTTTTTTTTTTCCTTTTGCATCTGTGATAGGTTTCACCTGACTTCTCCTGGCTTTTTCCCTAGGCTGACATGACGTGTCCAGGCTTTCGAGAATATCATGAAAGGCTTCAGACATTCTTGATGTGGTTTATTGAAACTGCTAGCTTTATTGATGTAGATGATGAAAGATGGAACTACTTTATAGTGTAAGTACAGTTCTAAAGCAACAGTGGACCTTATTACCTCCACAAAGCCTGCATTTTAATTGTGGCTGGCCAATTATTGGGGCAGTATAATGATATTTTTCCCAGGAAAGAAAAACCATTGTTTATCAGGCTTGAGTTTTCCTCCATTATACTTTGGGGAACCTTGAGAATAGAGCTGAATTAAATGCTGTTGTCCGTTAGAGCCCTGAATGTAGGCTTAAACAGTAAAATGAGCTTTGCCTGTGTTTTCTTTTACTTGCCACCTATTCATCTTTATAATAGGCAAGTGCACTGAAGTGCTGTAAAGAGGTCTGATTTATCCAAGTTGCTGCACACCAATTAAGTGAATTGTACATTCAGAACATAGCAGGTGTACCCATTGGGCCCTCACAGAGTAGCTTGCTGACACTGAAAATTCAGTTGGAGAATGGAAAAGAAAATGGACACTGCATGGGAGCGCGACTGTAATTGACCTGCTTGGCTTTCTGTTTTATCTGCAGATTTGAGAAGTATAATAAGGATGGAGCTACGCTCTTTGCGACCGTGGGCTACATGACAGTCTATAATTACTATGTGTACCCAGACAAAACCCGGCCACGTGTAAGGTAATTGGCGGTGTAACTCGTGCCTTGCCTTTTATTTCAGAAGAGGGAACTGCTGAAGTTCCCAATACTTGTTTATAATGGTGTTGATTTGTTTTAAAAAAATCCCCATTATTAGTTGGCTACGCACTGATTTATTTCATTGTTCCCTTCTTGAAGCAGAGGGAATTGCACACAAGTTTTGAATATTTAGCAGTTCTAAGATTCTGTAAGAATTATGTTTTAACATTAAGACTGATGCATGTGTTTTAAGAAAAACTTAGTTTTTATGCCTTTACACTGCAATGTTTGCAAAAGCATGCATTTGAACTGAAATATCAATACATTCCTTTGTCTGTAGCCAGATGCTGATCTTGCCACCATTCCAAGGAGAAGGCCATGGTGCTCAGCTTCTCGAAACAGTTCATAGATACTATATGTCTTCTCCTACAGTACTTGATATAACAGGTATACGTTAAATTTCTAACTCATTTCACCTGTTTGGTCCCATTCAGACACTGCTAGCCCACAAGCCAGCTTTCATGTTCACTTGTTAGAATTAAATGGCCTTTTGAAGGTTTAGCTTCAGCTCAGTTCAGGATTAACAGTGCCCTATTTTACAGAAGAACTGTATATAATGTAGCTCCTTAAATCCTCTACTTAGAGAACAGCACACCAGGAAAATTCAATCCCTAGCATGCATGGATTACCAGCTAATTAGCCATTTTATTGTGAGATATACAGCTGAGTTTGCCAGGAGATCAAGCTTTGTCAGATTCCTTGTTCAACTAGTTCCTATTAGCCAAAACTCAAAACTGAGAAAAATCTGAAATAGTGTTTTAACACGTATGTAAGCCAAAAGTCAACAGACAAAAATCTGCACAGGAGTTGTGCTCCATGAGCATGCACTACTGACTGAATGCACCCCTCATGTTAGAGATGAGCCAATAAATACATGAAAGTGAAAATTTAATGGAAGAATGGGGGGGGAAGAGGGTACACACATCTTAAAAATATAGCATTAAAATGGTTAGAATCATGACATCTGTCCTGTAGTTTAAAGTCCAATATAGGAAGAAGTACAGTTTAAAAATATAAATTGACTAATCTAAGGTCTTCTAAGACCTCATCTCAAAAAGAAGAGAAAGACGTTCTATTCCTCTACCCTCCAAAAAACTAATTAAAATGCATTACAACACTTGCTTTCTTCATAGTATCACTGCAGGATAATCCTAACGCAGGGTAATCTACCTTGTAATTTTAATCCAATTCATAGAAACCTAAAGAAGCATAACTTCCTTTATGCAGTAGGAAGTCTTATTCATTGTGTGATTATTTTTTTTTATCCTTTTTTTCCACTAATACTACAAAGCTTTACATAGCTTTTATAACTGAGAATAAACAGTCTTAAATATAGTACTACGTAAATCATATGACACATTCATGGCTCAGTGCCTTTAATGCAAATCTGTAGCAAACAGCAAATTTGCACTAAAGTAACTCTTTTTGGATTAAAGCAGGAGGAAGCTTGCAATATTCTACATGGCACTGAAGTTATGTAATCTTACACTTCTGCAAGATAATTTATTGTCATTCTGATAGAAAGTCAGGCTTGGCAATCTTGATAATGGACCAAATTCATACTTACATATCCGCTAAGGTTGTTAAGTAAAGCCTTTCCTCTCTTCAGAATGATTAGAATTTCAACTTCCTTAAAGAAACTAATGCCTAAAAAAATAAAGTATTTCAGACTTTATCATTTGCAATGGATACTTTGTCCCAACTACCAACTCATAATCCTAGTTGACACAAGTGAAATGTATGTTGGTAATGCTTACCATACAGAAACTGCCTCATCTTTCTTGTAACTAATTTGAATGAAAAGGAGCAGAATAAATGAATCTCAGTACAGTCTCTTCAATCTCTTTTGCAGAATAAGTGCTGTAAGTTTTGCCACACAAGATTATTACACTCATGTGCAAATCTTTTTTACTGATGCAGTCCTAGGCAGTCTGCGACCCAAAGAACAAATTGCTGGTTGTGCAGTGCTGCATATACTAGGACCAAAAGTTATATGCTACTCCTTTCTCTTTGTAACATACTAGCTTTTGATCATTCTTAAACCGCAAATGTCAACTACATAAAATAGTCCTCATCTTGAGGAAAAGGGGGAGAAAATGAATGAAAAAGCACAGCTGGAATATAGGCTGTTCAACAATAAATTGAACAGAAAAATAAAGGTAGGGTAGAGCATGACCCTGCTCCTCACTTATAGTAAACCTGTCCAAACTATAAAGTGGTGATTAAATCTATTTGCAGCATTGTAACATTTCCTTCTCTGTAGTTCACAGGTGGGAACAAAATTGCAAATAGGACTATGTTGATGATCACTGAAGCTAGTTCTTGATTTTGTTGTTTTGGTTTTTTTAATAAAGCTGCAGTTTTGATAGCAATGCTGCTGTTTCAAGCAAGATGGAAGTAACTTCAAATTACCTTCAGCTTTTATTTCAGTCTTTATCCACATAGTTTGTCTTACAATAATTATGATGCTCTGATCTGCTATAGAATAGAGGGAACATACAAGAAAAAAGGGTTTATGTTTTGAACTGTATTCAACTTGTTTTGTCAGTCTCTTGGAAATGTGTATAATACTGTACACAGTACAATTTAACTTACATTGTCATACATTTAAAACTTTGATAGCAGTACTTATGATTAAGCACAGCTATTTATACATGATGAATGTTGCATCTGGTCTCGTCTTCCACAGCTTTTGTAATTGCATACCAGAAATGAAGAAACAAATAATTCTTATATTAACTATGTGCTCTTATAATTTTTTTTCTAGCTGAAGATCCATCTGAAAACTACATAAAGCTAAGAGACTTTGTTCTTGTAAAGCTCTGTCAAGACTTGCTTTGCTTTTCCCCAGGAAAGTTAATGCAAGGCTTCAGCCAAGAAATGGTAATGGAAGCTCAACAGAAGCTGAAAATAAATAAGGTATTAAAACTCAACAGTGGTAGTTGGACCTATTCTTATCAAGCTAGTACAACATAGGGGTGGAGACTTGGAGTTTACATACTGTGGTTTATTTCAACAGATTTCTACAGTGTATCTGAAAGTGAAGAAATTGCTTAAGATTTTAAGTAAATGCCTTCTTGTTTTCCATCTAATGCTGTTGATGTAACAGAACCTGAAATATTCCAGTTTCAAGTGTCAGTTTCCATCTTTTCAGGTATATCTATATAAATAGCCACTGTTGTTCTGAGAACACAGAATACTAAGGTAGTAATGCTAGCACTGCTACTGAGGCAGCTCTAAATGTTTGAAGGACTAAACTGTTAAACTGAACAATTAAACTGATAATTGTCCAAGTGATTAAACTCATTAGTAAGCTCTTCATTTAAAAATACATGAATGTGTTTTTTATGAAAATGTTGAATGAGGATTGCAGAGGAAAAACCTTATTCAAATATATTCATTAAATGTTATTGTTTGTATAAGAGAAATAAACCAGCAGCCTTCTATACCTGAGATGTTACACCTAAAAGGATAATTAAGTTTATTTTTTAAGAGAATCTAAAGATGGATTAGTATAGCAAACCATTTTATTTTTAACCCTGTTGCTCAGCAAAGTAGTTGATCTTAAGTTCAGCTTAAGCGTTTTAACAGTTCATAGTAATACAGTAGAAACATCAATCTGTTTCCTTTCCAGATGTCATAGTTGCTGATCAGTGTTCCAAAGTCACTTCAATGTTCCACGTACTGATTCCTTTGTTATCTTCCTAGTAAAAAGAAACATTTAAATATTCTTTCATTCTCATTTTTAGCATTTCCAGAGGACCTTGTGAAGAGCAATAAGTATGTCAAGATTATTAATATTAGTACAGGAGGTACTATGTAGTAATTAATTGCTTAATGTTACTCTAGTTCCAGTTCTTCAGCTCTTTGGATTACTTTTGGACTCTGACTTCTGGACTTTCTGCCATTCATTTATAGCAGATCCTTGAAGCACCTTCACAGACACTGCAACATTTTGAGAGATTACACACTAGCTGTACTGGAATAAATTATTTTTTGAGGAGTAACTAGAACATTTGTTCATTTAACCCACTGCTAAGGAGGATCAGGCTCATTGAGGTTTTGTTGGTATCTGACTGATATCTGATAAGCTGAAGAGTTACTCAAAGTGGAGAAATACTGTGATACTGCTGCTGAATGACCTCTTCACTCAGACATGTTCTTTATTCTCCTTTTTGTTCACTAGCAACACACAAGGAGAGTTTATGAAATTCTCCGATTGCGTGCAACAGATATGGGTGATGCAGAACAATCCAGAAGCTACCGGTTGGATGTTAAAAGAAGGCTGATTGGCCCCTATAAGGTATGTGACTTATGTATCATTTAATACTTATTTCAAGGCTAATTATACCTGATTTTACTTCCATTTCCATAAATGTAGTTGATGCCAATTATGTTGCCAATCAACTACTATTAGTTATGCAGCATTCAGCTGACATACACAGATGCAGAGAACATTCATTCGTGGCTGTACCAAAGATCTTGTTTGACTCCTGTTACTTGCCCAATTCCAGCAGAAATTTATTACCCTTACAGTACCTAGCTACAAGTGGCATTAAATCCAGTTAGAGCAAAGGGAAGGGAGAGGGGAGGGAAGTTACTTTCTTGGAAAGATTGAGAGTGTCTTAAATACATAAACCACAAACTTAGAAGTGAGGGTTAAATGCTATATATTTACACTGGAAAACTAGGTATAGTTTAGATTCCTGTTCTGCTCATTAACTAGATCTAACAGAGCAGCTTGGTAACCTAGCCATGTCTGTACAGTACTCCCTGTAGATGGGATATGATCTCAACAGTGATGTTGAATCAAATACTCAACTTAGTGCAGAGTTACTTTGTTATTTCCTGCCCAATATGCTTTTGAGGATCTACTTGCTACATGTTGCATTAACCGATCCTCTAAGATTAGGGGTGTGTGTGTGTATATGTATGTGTATATATAGTGTATGTATGTATCTCCTAGTTGCTAATGACATGAGTCTCTATATTGATTGCAAAAACCCACAAGCCTAGGTTCATTGCTGTAACTAGCATGTTAGCTACTCTGCAATTAAGTAATCACCAAGCAACCCAAAACCTGGTTGGAAAAGTTTCACAAAGTATCAGAAGTATCTTGATTAGCTTGCAAGCCTCCCTAAAGCAGCACTTATCCTGTTATACCAAAATAGCAGAACTTTGATTGTACTCATGTTGGACTTAGGGGGTCTGTTAGCAGAAATGAGAACTCAGCGCTGCATTAAACACTTGGCTGATCTGGAGATAACACCGTGTCATGCTGAGTGACAGGATCCTAATCAAAACACTTTCTATTCTCTTTTGTGAGTGTCTTGTCTCATTTACTAAATTTCACTCGCTGTCCACTACAAATAAGGCTTTGATTTTTCATCCAACAGGACTGTCACATGTCCTCAGCATGTAATTCACCTTAATATTTGGAGGAAATCTAAAATGCCATAAGCAGCTTCAAATCTAGTGCTTCTAATAATTGTTTTCACTTTAGTCTTTGCATGTAATAAATACATTGAGTAAAAACTTTACAGATATTGTACAGCTAGATATGATATTTGTCTTCTAAAATTTTAGAGTATTCTATTGCTTTAAATATTTCACTTTTTCAACCACAGTTCTCTTCTAAAGATTGATCAAAACAGCCAGCCTGATTTTTTTTTTTTTTTTTTTTTTTTTTTTTTTTTTAGGTTTTAAGTTTCATATTCTAAACTATGGTCATCTTGTTTATGATTGTTCTGCCTAGTGAATGGCTTACATGCTAATTTTTAACAGTTTCACAAAAAAATCTTATGCTCCTGTTTTTAAAAAAATAGAATAAAACTTGCCAGAACTGCAGCTGAACTCTCAATATGTAGTAATTTAGGGGAGAAAGCAACCTTTTATAAAGAATTGGCAATATTACAGCACTTTTAATGCTTGTGTCATGTAAACACAACTCTTTTATAAAGCACTTGATAACTTCATTTGAATTGTATTGTACAGGTACAGTACAATTCTAAATTCTTAATATCTTCCACTATTAACAGTGGTCCTGCATCTTAGAGCTATTTCCTGACTAACTGTTGCAGAAATACAGAAAAATTTTGAAATGAGTCTTCAGCTTGCCAGATAATTGGTAATACAGCAACTGTGGAGCTTTAACAGAAGAGGTTTCCTAGTTAAACTGTTAGTGGATTTTTCTTTGTTTTTATTATTTTTTTAAAGCATTAGGGACTTCATAAAGACCTAGATATTGAAATGGAATAAATGCAGTAAAATACTGTACTCTTCACTGTTCCTTATGTTCAAATTACTGTTTATTTAATTGCTTAGAAAAAGCAGAGAGAACTTGCCAAGATGAGAAGGTGCTTAAGACCAGAGGAGCTGACAAATCAGTTGAACCAAATAGACCTAAACATGCAACATGAACAGTTAGAAGAGAGCTTCCAGCAACTTGTTTCGGATTACCGAAGAGTCCTAGAACGACTTGCGCAAGCATGAGGATTTGACCTGTACAGGAAACTTGCAGATTTCTGCACAGTGTTATGAAGCACATCCTTAATTGCCACTTAACTGCAACAACAACAAAAAAAAAACCAACCTTGTGACGTTTTAATCACATTAAGGGTGCATTGTGTTTCTGTGCATTTTGAATATTTTCTATTTTAGTGCTGTAGATTTAAAAATGTTGTTCTTCAAGTTTGGGAGCACTTATTGCTGAAATAAACTGTAGATTCTCAGATCAATAACACATAAATTGTTTGAATTTTTTAACCTTTCTGTTTTGCCTCAGGACTTAACAGATATTCAAGTAGCAAGTTAGTACATGATTGTATATATTTATACTGCAACTGTTCTAAATTTCTCCTAACTTCATCCTACTCAGACAGTTTCACTTGGGCCCTACAGTAATACTGTTTAAGCCTGGGCATTCTTCAGCCACATGAACAAGTTACAAGACTAGTTCTTTGGACTGACTGGCATGCATCTGAGTACAGGCTCTTTACGTGTTCTGAGAAGAGGATCCTGCTGCCACCAGCTATTAGGACCTGATCTACTTCAGATTCTACAGGGGGTAGTCTTAGGCATCCTTTTTTTTTTTACCAACCACCCCTCCATGAATTCACAGGTTCATGTTTAAGAAAAAATACTTTACAATTGGAGAAGCAAACAAGGCTTTGTATTGATTCCAAAAGCACTTTCCTTAGCTAATGTAAGAAACTTACAAATCTGTAGGAAGCCAGTGCTTTTATATAGTTCCCTTACTTCGTGAATTCAAATATATTCTTTTTAGAATTTTCACTCTTCTGCCTAGGATATCTTATGATATGTGGTTCATCTACTGTAGTGTCAGAAACTATTACAGTTATTAATCATAGAATCACAGAATGGTTGGGGTTGGAATGGACCTCTAAGATCACCTAGTTTCAACCCTCCTGCTATAGGCAGGGACATCTCCCTCTAGACCAGGTTGCTCAAAGCCCCATATGTATTGATTTTACATTGCTAGTCCTTCGTTCAACAACCAGAAAGATTGCAATCAAACCACAAGTTCTATCTATTAAAATGTTTCACTTACAAAAGGCTATAAGCCACAAAGTTGGAAGTATTTGAAACTGTGAGACTAGGAGGTCTGTGCAATTAGTTGAAATGGAAGGCTATTACACAGAACAGGACAGATTTAAGTCCTCGTGCAGAACATACTAGCTGCCACTATATTGCCTTATATCTCTGGAGGGAATATCATAGGGATGGGCTGGCCTCCCCATCACTCAATCTTCCTACAGCTTAAAAAGATAAACAATACATATACTAGTACTCAAACTACTCGTTTAAATAAGTTTACCATGTTCTTTGTTCCTTGAGCTAAAAGCCTGCAGAAATGGGCTTTGCCAGAAATGGGACTACAGATGCTGTATGAGCCTCCTTTTAGACCTACAAACACGTGTGAAAAGGATCATTGATCTAACAATTCCTGGATTTCCGTGTTCAAAATAGTCTTGCTTCTCAAGTCTAGAGAAACAAAGAGCAAACAAAAAAATCTCATTCTTCAAAGTTCATTGCAAATACAAGAATTGCACCCAAACTGAAGGAAATTCAGGTAATAACAAATGAAGGCAAGTCCTTGGGAGTAGCATTTCAGAATTCCCTTTTACCACTGCAAAATATCTTTATACCAGGAGCAGAAACGTATGTTGTTTTCTTTCTTCAGTAGATAAAGAGCATGCAGTAGTGAAAACATTCCTCAGATACAGGGTATGTGCTCCATTTAAGACCTCTTCACATTTTGAACAGAAGAGATCAAACAAAAGAAATCTAGATCAATGGGAAGAGCTTGATATCCAGGGTTGATTTTTTTGTTTCTTTATTTCTAAGTGGTATGACAATAAGGGAGGTGTTCCACATTCAACATCTGCTATGTTTAGATGCTTTTCTTCTAGTTCCTAGTTCTTCCTCAAAAACTGGATGGTGTTCATGTTTTTGAGACCTTCATAGTTTCATGGAAAAGATAAAATCTTCACTTTGAATGAGTTCAATGTGATAGGGACAGTGAACTTGTCATTGTGCATTCCTTAAAGCTGTAAGAATTTGGTAGAGTTTGCCTCATTTTCTACATTTTGCACTTACATGCTTGCTGTTCACTAACAAATGGTGATGTATATTGAGGTCCATGAACTTCAGGTATCGCTGGAAGGCACAACTGTATAGATGTGATCTAAGTCTGCCTCACTGCACTTATAAATTCTCCTGACTTTACTCATCTTTTCTAGAACACATTTCAGCAAGATTTCCCAAGGCAAGCTAACTTCCCCTTCCCTGCTGAGCTACTGCATTTTGCAGGTTCAGCATCATGGAACAGATAAATATCAGTGCTGAAGAAAGGACACCTACTTGTGATTAGTACAACACCCAAAAACCACCAGCTTGGCCGGCAAAAGCTGCTGTGAACTAAATAATCTTCTAAGACAATCTCTAAGTCTAAACAGTTTGAGCCTAAACCCAGGAGTATCCAATTGCTATGCTTAAACTAGAAGCATATTTCTATATTGCTCCAGGTAAGATTTAATGTATTAATAGCAATAAAACATCTTTATTGTTTCATAGCCTTTTATAGACTGCTTTCACCCTTAAGTTTTAAAGCACAGCTTTGTGTCTTCCTTTCCACAACTTTTGCTTATGTTACTATTGGCCTGTGTACCATGCTGGTGGAAAAAAACATGGAGATTCTACATTTAGAAAGTATCAACACTGACAGCATGGAGACAATGTAAGTCAGACAGAATCTGCAAGACTGTGAAGAAGGGAACAGAGATATGCTCAAAGGAGCTTGGCTAAAAAGTGATGTCGCCAGAGCTGCGTCTCAACACAAAGCAGAGGACCACTCAAATCACCACTGGTCATCTTCAACATTTCAGAGGATTTGCCAAACATGAACAAAAGACAGCTACATACATCTGGTTCTGATTGGTAACAGAACTTGAAAATAGCAGTCGTGATTCTTTGGGTGTACTGTGTTAGGATATAGAATATCTCTCTTTTGCTGAGATAGTAATCTTTGTTTTGTTAATACAAATTTCCTAACAAACCTCATCTGCTACTTATGTTAGAAAAAAGAGAAAATCCTAACCTAAGCACAAATTAAAGACTACTGAATAATGACTGTTAAATTTTCAGATTAATCTAGACATTATAAACATTACAGAACAGTTGTTCTCTTGGAACATAAAACAGACTTCCTTTAATCGAGCCCTTGGTTTCTGATCTGCAAAAGGAATTGGGAAATCTAACTGCTAATGTGCACCTACAAGTATTTGGGAAATAACCTGCTGCTTAAGGACAAGTTAATTACAAAGCTGTCAACAGTGTCATTCTAATATTGTCTCCAGTTCTCACATCTTCTTATGCCATCAACAAGTTTTGAGGCCGTTACAATATGGAATTATGGTCTTACAGCAAGAGACAAAAGCCAAATGTTCACTTTATTTTCTTTCTCAGCGGCATTTGATTTCCCTGAATAGGAAATACTTATTGACTTGAGGAAAACAGGTGATAATAGGTTTACCTAGACCATTTTGCTTCTCTCCTTTAGCAACACCTCAGGAAAAAATGATAGAGAACCGCTCCTCATCCGTGACTACTTTCATGTGAGATATGCTACTCTGCAGGCACAGAGAAGTACACCCATTCCAGCAATGCACAGTTACATATACCAAACAGTGACAGCATGTGACTGCTTTACACTGAACTTCATTCTCATAGAACCAGCAGTTGGGTATCTGCAGTCCTAAAAATAACAAAAAATAACATAAAACAGTGTCTGATGAAGTTCGAACTTGTGAAAGACAATACTGCATCGTACAACTAGGATAAGGGCAAAGATTTACTCATTTCTGCTCTGCAGATTAAATAAATGTACATGTACCTCTCGCCAGTGAGTAGCTGGTAATGATGCTCATGAGGTGCAACTATGCAGCTTAGGAATGCTATTTCTTGATTTATTTCTAGCTATATTTTTCTTCTATTAAAATCCTGTCACATTGCTCTCACATTATACATGTCACTTAGTGGAGAACGTGGCTGTATGAAGTTAATCATTTCATTTTTGGAGGCAACATAAGATACTGTATTGATCTTTAAACTGCTCCATGGTGTGGATACAAGCTGCATGATAGGCCACCTACCATGCTGTGGCAGCTGATTAACTGATGCACTTTGCTCATGAGATATATCTAGGAGCACTGAGGAGAATGCAGCACCCTTTTTGTGATCACAGAACTCCTGGAGTTTGCTCCTTAGTGGCACAAATTCTTATAGTCTGACTGTTATGCTCATCCATTTCTCGGGCTTTTTCTAGAGTAAACAACACAGGTAAATAACATCACTATTCCTATTTGAGTGGGGCTTTCAGTCTATCCTTGTTAGCTACATTATAAAATCGAATTTAAAAATTACCCATGGCTACAACAGGAGATAAAGAACTCTAGAGACAAACAGCCTCATCTTCTTTTCAGAATGTCACTGACTCCTCTGGGTACCACGTGTACCTACACGCATGTGGGGGTGTACAGGAACGATACTCACATTACTTGTACATTTCAGCTCCTTGCAATTACTGCCCTGGCACTTTCTGCTCATTTGAGTCCTTTCATTCTGATGCTTGCCCGTGGCTGTGTGATTCACATCCCACAACACCGTTTCTCAAATATCTGTGGAGCCACAAAAACTTAATTTCAAACCAACTGAAAATGCTTTAAATACATAAATAAATAAATGCCGAATACAAGCACAAAAGTAGTGGGGAAAAAATGAAATTTGCAAGCAGACGTTAGAAGTTCAGCTCGGTTTTTATGGGAGTGCAAAGAAGCCCGCCGCACTACCCCTACAGGGCGGCTCTGGGTACTTCTGCAGGCGTGGTGACGCCCCACCAGCGCTCGAAGAAAGCTGAGCACCACAGCGAGCTTAGCTCTTCCTGATCTTTATTAAACAGGCCAAATTTGGCTGCGCAGAGGAAATAAGAAGAACTACGCGAGTTTGAAGTTCAAGCCCCGACCTTTAGATTCTGTAGAGACCCCAACAACAAGTAAATAGCAAAAGCTCAGAAAGTTCAGAAAGAGCAACTCAAAACTTTCTTCACAAATGCCGTGTTACTATAGCGGAGTAAAAAAGTACCAAGCTCAAAACGCGCTAGAATACCAGGCGGGCGTAACTCCGGCATTTGCAGAACAATGCTGCCGCGCTCCCGCGCCCGTCCCGCCGCGACGAGCGCCGTCTCACAGCCGCGGTTCTCGCAGCCGAAAGCTGATGAGGCGGTTATTCCCGCCCGAGCCGCCCGCAGCCGCGCACACGCAGGCCGGAGCTCCGGATCCCGGCTCCCGGCTGCAGGCGCGAGGCGCGGCGCGGCCGGGCGGCGGCCGGGCGGAAAGGGGGCGCTGCCGGCCCGGCCCTCCGAGCCGCGCCCTGACGGCTGCCGCCCGCTGAGCCCTCACCCCGAGGGCGGCGGCAGTGCTGAGGTGCGGCGGCGGCCCGTCACGTACCTGCCGCGTGCCCGCGGGCGGGATTCGCTTCAGGCGACACGCGCGCGACGGCCACGGCGTGAGGTGGACAGACCGCTCCGGGCCGCCTCCCGCGGCCACGTGATCTCGCCCCGCGTGGCCAAGATGGCGGCGCCCAGAGCTGTCAACGCGCTGTGGGGCGGAGGTGAGTGCGCGCCGCCGCGGGGCGGGAGAAGACGCAGCCTCGTTTCCTTGGCGTGGGGAGAGCGGCCGCAGAGCGGGCTCCGCCGGCCCCAGCGCCCGAGGGCTGCGGGACTGGGGGACCGGCGGAGGTTGGGACTCCCTCGAGATCGCTGGGAGCACCGCGGCGCGGGGCCTGGCGCTGTGTGAGGGGACAGCCGAGCGCGGGCTCCGGGTGCGCCCCGTCTAACGCTGCCGCGCTTTGTGGAAGCGCGCCGGGTGCGCACAGGCTGCAGGAGCGCTTCCCTCTAGGCTTTATGTGATCATCTTAGCGTTTAACTAAGAAAAAACGTTTTCTGACAGAACTGTGTGTTTATCCTACCAACCCGCTGAATCTCGGAACTTTAACGTGCGTGCAGGTGCTTTCCCGCCCGCCTTTCCTCACGCCGCGCTCCGGCTGAAGGCGCCTTTCCTACCGCGCGCCCAGCAGAAGCGAATCGCTCGTTTGCCCTACGGCCGTGCTCACGCGGCACTGCTGCACCAAGTGCTCGACGGAAAATGCGTTATCTCACTGGTGTGAGGCGATTTACCTCTCGTCGCTTCCCCTCGGGGTTTTGCTGTCTTAAACTAAATCAGGCCTTAAGCCCTTTGAACAATACGAATGCTTCTTTTTCGCTTCCGTTGCAAAATCTTGAATGTGTGTATAGGAAGAAGCACCTCACAGTGATCTCAATGAAAGGCTTGTATGATTAAATACACATTTTGTTTAGGTCTTGAATAATTATTATAGTAATAGAGAGTAGAGCAATTCCATGTTAATTTTAACTTGCACATTAAACTGCAACACAACACTGCAGTGCTATGCAGCTGACATAGCAGCCCTTTTTTCACTGTATTGATCCTGATCTTCTACTGCGCTTTTGTTTTCCATTCTGCCCAATGAGTTTTGAGCAGCCTTTGGAAAACATAAAGGCTTTTTCTTCACAATTAATCCTTCATCATTCAGGGCAGAAGAGCCACATTGGTTGTTTTTTCCTTGATGAAGGCTAGTGTCCACAGGAAAATGCCATTTTACTCAGATTCTTGGAACCTGGGCTTCAGCTGAACGCTGGCTTTCTGAGTCTCCTATTTGTTTTACTTTAAATGCCAGTCAAATTCTCTGTGCTTACGCATGTGCTATTTGGAAACTGAATCACATTTTTAATGCATGGTACCATTCAACACTGGCTATTTTTTTTTTATTTTTATTTTTAAATCTCAAATGATGTGAAATTTAGCATGCAGCTTCATTCTTGATTTCTTGCTTCAGAAGCGGTTCATCTGCACACTTTGTTTTGGGTGTTGTGTGGCCATGTGTGGTCAGTACAGCTGCCTCCACCCCTCCATGCCCAAAAACCCCATGTCTGTCATTCAGTTAAAATACCCAAGCCATTTAAATTTGTTAAGCCTTCATACTCTCCCTTCGGATGTCAAACTTTATTCAGATCCCCTGATAGAAATACATTTCCAGAAGTTGAAAAAGCAAAAATGTCATAGTTCAGACAAGGCTGATTAAACTGAATCTAATTTTCCCTGAATTGGACAGTTCAGTATAATTTAATTTGCAAATACTGAAAGACAGAAGTAATTTTAATTAGATTTCAGTCCACCTAAGGGAATCTATTCCACCTAAATTGAAAGAAAATTACTTTTTGATAGCCTCTTATGTGATATCTCTTTATACTTCTGGTGTCACATTTCTATGAATGATGAAAGTTTTCATGATTATGGAACTGTTTCTAGATAAGCACATTTGAAAAGCAGAGATCTTGAAAAATTGTGTGCTGCTTAAATACTTTCTCCTTATATTGGAAGGAATTAGGCTGTCATAAAAATGTATATTCATTATGTTTGAAGATGTTGAATGATTATGCTTGCAAACAGTTAAAAGGTGTAATTTTTTTGTTAGATGTATCAGAGAATTTATTTGAATATTTCCTGTCTTGTTAGAGGCAGAATTGCAATACTGTCAACTGTATGGGAACTGCTGAATCACAGCCTGAACCTCTGATTGATCACCTGAGGTGAGCACTGAGTCAGCCAGAGGAGCACAGGTGAAGGCAATTCAGCTGTGCTGCAGGAAGGGGTGGAGCCTGGCTGCACCTCTCCTAGACCCATTTAAGAGCTGACTGCCAGTGGGGAAGGATCTCTCCTGGAGATCCTCTCCTCTGGAGTTTCTTAGTGAGCCCAAGATATGGGTAAGCATTCTATCTGTTCTGTTTGAGTATAATAACTGCACAGCCCAACTCTCTGGTACAGTTCATAACTGTAACATCTGTACATACATTGGTTATACAGTTAACTCAAGGAGAAGGTATGCAGCTTTCTAAGTGTGTGGGTGGCTTGCACAAACCTCTGGGTTTCTGTAGGCTCCAACCTGCATGTCCAAGTGGCCTTGCTCTGGATTTAGATGCCACTCTTTTTTGAACAGTATTTTTGAAGAATTTTGCAGGTGATGTATAGGAATGCTAATTGTATTTACCATTTTGAAAAAGATAAATAAGAAACTGCTATAACAGCCACAGTGATGGCATGCTAACCTCTCACAGTTTGTGCTTATAAATAGTACTGGTTGTATGGTGTTTTACCAGATTGTAAATGCTCTAATTATGTATTGTGACAGTTTCAGGTATTACAATAATTGTGTCTGTGATGTTTGTTAGTAATAAAATCAAGAAGGCATCAAAGAACTGCATGTCTCCAAATGCAACTTAGGTGATTTCAGGCACAATAATCTTTTATTGATCTATTAATTTCAGGCAAGTAAATTATGGTAGACTAGAAGCCCCTATTGTCTTGTAATGAAGTTTCAGGACTCGAAGCCACAGGAAAATAACTGATGAGAAGACATGCCTTGTTGAACAAGTCTCTTATTGTGTTAAATATTGCCATGACTGATTTCTTACATTGCTTCCCTATCTCTATCACTGAATGAGTATTAATCATCTGTGATGCGTATTACTGCCAGACATGTGAAGTGAAGTTACTGTAGACTGAAGGGTGTGTGATGTATCTCTTAGATATGTGGTCTGTGTGTGCAGGCTGTAAGTCTATTTGCTTTATTTGCATTACTTTGTCTGCATTCTGACAGAACTGGGCATCTTACAGGTGTCCTAAACAGGTGCAGGTAAGCTTTTAAATCCTGCTCATGTGGAAAAGCTGTGGATGTTGTCTTTAGGCTGTTTGTAATGTGCAGAACTGGAGATTGTATTTTTCTGTAGATGGAAAGCCATATTAAAATGTTTGTTTTCAGGACACTTTCTGATAATTTTACTTTTCTCCCATCCCTTAGTACAATGAAGAGGAAATATGTGATTAATACATGTTTGTAAATCTTTTCCAAAATAAAGGGGAGAGGGGGAGGCATAGCTGGAGTAAGGCTGTTGCACTATGGCTTCAAAGCCTCATGCTTCCAAGTTTGCCTAGAAGTGCAGTCTCTTTAGAGATCTTTATGTATTAGCAATATTTTCTGTATTACAAAGTGTATTATTGGGGTGCGTAGATCAGGTCTGTTTGCAGGTCTGGTAGTAACGTGTTGTTGAGTGTTGTTTATCCTTCAGCCTGTCTAGGTAAAATAGAGTATTTTAAAGAAATAAAAGGAACAAAAACATCTTCTCCAGCAAGGTTGCTCATGAGACTATTCTGAAGCATTTTCAAAGTTAGAAACATTAGCTCAGACCTGGTAGGGATTAGACTAATAGAAAAAGATGTCAGTAAATCACTGAGGCAATATGTAGCAATTATTTTATGTCTTTCAGATAAAGTGTGTGTGAATATATATATATATATATATATATATAATTTTATGTAGTATTTTTGTGTGATTAGACATGGCTTTGACATTTAAGGTAGTAAAGCAAGCAGGCAGCTTTCAAAGTATCATTTTTATGGTGAACTCTGCATACAAGCATACAGAAATGTGTTATAGAGCCAGCAGCTGGGAGGTGCTTAATTAAATAGATAAATGAAGTACCTGCTGGAATTATCTTCACATCTCTCTTTCCTGTTTTTTTTTTGGCTTTGGAAACATAGTCAAGATCAAAACTGTTACTTTACTGAGAATATCTGTCCAAAACCTCTGTGGTTTCTACCACCTGCAAGGGTAGAGGGCTCTTCCCACTCTGGGTACAGTTTCAGAGATGCCCTAGGGAACCAGTCTGCTTCCATCTGTTTGATAATGTGCTTTGAAATGAGAATTCCATTTTTTTCAGATGTTGCTTGCCCTTTGCTAAGTGTGATCATAAACTCAGCATGTAGAAGACAAGAAGGTTTATTCTCGTGACAAGAATAAACCATTAGAATTTCCTAGCACTGTTGATAGTCAAATACTAAAAGCATCTTTTTACCTGTATCTTCATCATTGTTAATCTTAGAAATGTGCAAATCAGAAATTAAAAATATTCAGTCCTCACCTGTAAAAAAAATTAAAAAGTTTCTAAAGCCATTTAATGCATTAAAAAAAAAAAAAAAAAAACCTTTATAACATATAGATAACAGTCCTGTGGGAAACGTTTCCTGGTATCTCAGGCTGATAATGAGTATGTCCTATAAGTCTGAAGGTTTTTTGGCAGCTGGGAAAAGTGATTGAAAACTTTTGTCAGAGTTTTCAAGATCAAATGATGCTTGGCTGCACTGTGCAATATGTGAGCTGGGCAATTAGCTGGAAGCAAACATTAATTCACATTTTCCATTAATTTGTAGACAGACTCGTGTCTCCAGAATTTAGCATTAGCATTATCAGCTGCAAATGATGCACAATGGAAGTTCAAACCATTTGATCGCAGCACACTTTTAACATTTTCAAACAATCCAGAGGTAGTTCCATCCCTGTCTTGCGAAACATCAGGCAGACAGGGAATTATTCCCATTTCAACAGTGCAGCAGTGAGTAATTCTGGGGGAGGCATACGCTTTCATGGTTTGAGGTATGAGAGAAAAAAATATTCCCCTTTCAATAAAGTGTGTAATTGTTGTCTTCTGTCAGCTGAGAGGTAATGTGTTGTTGGCAGCACACAGAGCCTTTGTTCTAACGGGATGTATCACTGCTAGCTGGGGGGTGTTTGTTTCTCTATTAGCTTTATTCTCTCCCATTGACATCAGCCAAGGCTGTGTTCCCAGGAAGGAGGCTCCTTAGCAGGTGTCCTCACCTCGCACACCTCACAGCAGGCCAGCCACTGTGCTGGAGGCTGTGCAGCTTTGGCCACCTCCCCAGGGTCCATTTTCAGATATCAGAAAATGTGGGGTAAACCCAGCTTCTGGCAACACTGAACTGTTATGTTTTGCATGTATCCTTTTCCGTTTTGCAGTCTCTTTTCTTAAAAAAAAGTCACCATTCCCTAGACAGAAAGGAGCCCCTTTCTTCCTCTATTTTAGCTCTGTCCTGTGGCAGCTGGGTGCCCTGGTGTGATGGTTTGTGAAGCTGGTGCCCGGCTCTGTAAGTGGGCTATGGTCCTTGAAGGGAAAGTGGTATATACTGTGTGATACATCTTGGCTGGTCCCTGAACTTGTGTAATGCAATTGTAGCATTTGAAGAGTAAGAACAAAGAACTGAAACTTGCTGTATTCTGGATGTGGGCATTGTGAATGGCAGTGTATTTTAGAGCATGTAGCTCATCTTACCAAAGCAACAGGATGAGATGCCACTTGAGCACATAGTGGAACAGGTTGTGCCTCCCGGATCTCAGCACAGGTAGCTACGGGAGACAAAAGGGACTGAAATTGTTAACAGCAGTTGATGGATGGAGAACCTGTAACTCCAAGGGAGTAATTTGCAGAGCATCTTGTAGGAGCGTGACATCAGGAGAATTAAATGGAGTGTGAAACCTGTGCTAACACTTACTATTTCTAAGCTGCTGGGTTAACACGTCGTTTAAAAATGGACATCTATGAAGTGGCTTTTTAGATTTAGATAATATATTCCTTGGAGCCTAGTTTTGCACTGGATTTCCTTAAGTAGATGGGAAGATTACTGTAAGATGTACAAAAAAAGACGTGATAGCTAGAAAGTTCTGAAATTCTGTTATGAGTGATTTCCAGATCTGTAGGGGGAACAGAACTATTCCATTCTGACATGTTTCCCATTATTTCTCACGTGACTTTCAATGTATAGAGATGGTAAGGTTGATGTTGCAACAAAAAACGAATCTGTTTCAGTAGTTGAATCACCTTAGTACAGTGACACAGTGATTTCATTTCTTACTCTGAAGTTTGGGTTTCTGCTCAATTCAAATAGATCAGCTGCTTCTAGTCTTGGATTCGCAGCTGAAAGTACAGCAGAGATCTGTGTCAAGAAATCTAAGCTGTTTTTCCCTTCTGTTGTATTTGGACATACTAGATATAATGCTCTGGTTTTGACAGTTGTGAATCATGAGCAAATGTAAGTGAAAGTGTAGGAATTTCTAGCAGTGTTCACAGACAATTCTCCTGTTCTGCTGCAAACTATAATTTCAGAGTAGATATTGGTTGTATATGCAGTCTGTAAAGGGCCTCTGTGCTAAAACTGCCTGTAAGACTCCAAGTTACAGTTATCTCAATTGCCATTTTGGGATTGTGTAATTTTTCCTCTTTTTCATTCCTCCTTTCCTCTTACCCACTCCCAAACCAGCACAGTTTGATAGCACTTGGAAATTCACATCTGGTGAGGCACTTTGGTACATCTTCCTCTGCACACCAGGTTGGGTTGGTGGCTTGCAGTGCTTCTGAACACCACACCCCAGTGCTGTTGGTCTAGTTATATTTATTAGCATTAAAATATAATTGGAACACTTCTGCATGTAATCAAATGGGAGGGGGATAGGTTATAGTCCAATTGTGGGTTTTGTTGGTTTGTTTTACTTTTTGATTTTGTATCTTTTCAAGCTGTATGCTTTGTTGCAGCGTTTTTTTTTTTTCCCTAAGTATTTCTATTTAAGGTAGATACACCTGTGTGCTGGATCTAAGTTTCATATTACATATATACTTTTTCTTCCTTTTTCACATAAGGAGGGGTCTATATTTTGTGTGCTCTCTGCCTTACAGTTACACATCCTGCAGAAGGAGTATTTGATTTCAGTGTTTTAATTTAATTTTCCAGTTTTTAGCTGCAAGTTCTGAGTTTTTCCCTGACCACTGCTGTTACCTGGTGGTGCTGATATTTCATCAAGTTTAGAGAAGCTATCTACCTGGATTCAGGCCTGGGCGAGCTGCTGTAACTGATGCAC